AGTATTGGGTTGCTTTCATAGTATGCTTTGGGTCATTGTCCATCTGCACTGCGAAGCGCTGTCCAATGAGTTTTGAAGAATTTGACTGAATGAATTCATCCTGCTGCTTTTGTCAGCAGTCAAATCATCAATAAATACAAGGGAACCCATTCCATTGGCAGCCATATATGCCCACGCCATAACACTACCTCCACCATGCTTCACAGATGAGGCGGTATGCTTCGGATCATGAGCAGTTCCTTCCCTTCTCCATACTCTTCTCTTCCCATCATTCCGGTACAAGTTGATCTTTGTCTCATCTGTCCATAGAATGTTGTTCTGGAACTGTACAGGCTTTTTTATATGTTTTTTGGCAAACTCTAATCTGATCTTCCTGTTTTTGAGGCTTACCAATGGTTTACATATTGTGGTAAACCCTCAGTATTTACTCTGGTGAAGTCTTCTCTTGATTGTTGACTTTGACACAGATACGCCTACCTCCTGGAGGGTGTTCTTGATCTGGCCAACTGTTGTGAAGGGGTTTTTCTTCACCAGGGAAATAATTATTCTGTCATCCACCAGTTGTTTTCCGTGGTCTTCCGGGCCTTTTGGTGTTCCTGATCTCACCAGTGAATTCTTTCTTTTTAAGAATGTACCAAATAGTTGATTTGGCCACACCTAATGTTTGAGCTTTTATTTTGATTTTTCAGCCTAATGATGGCTTGCTTCACTGGCAGTGACAGCTATTTGGACTTCATATTGAGGGTTAACAGCAACAGATTCCAAATGCAAATGCCACACTTGAAAAACTCTAGACCTTTTATCTGCTTACTCGTAAATGAACTAATGAGGGAATAACACACACCTGGCCATGGAACAGCTGCGCAGCCAATTGTCCGATTACTTTTGGTCCCTTAAAAAGGGGGGACCACATGTAAAAAGTGCTGTAATTCCTACACCGTTCACCCGATTTGGATGCAAATACCCTCAAATTAAAGCAAAAAAACAGGTTTTAAGAAATGTTTGCCAAATCATTAAAAACTGAAATATCACATCTACATAAGTATTCAGATCCTTTACTCAGTACTTGTTGAAGCACCTTTGGCAGCGATTACAGCCTTGAGTCTTCTTGGGTATGAATCTACAAGCTTGGCACACCTGTATTTGGGGAGTTTCTCCCATTCTTCTCTGAAGATCCTCTCAAGCTCCGTCAGGTTGGATGGGGAGCGTTGCTGCACAGCTATTTTCAAGTCTCTCCAGAGATGTTCGATCGGGTTCAAGTCCGGGCTCTGGCTGGGCCACTCAAGGACATTCAGAGACTTGTCCCAAAGCCACTCCTGCGTTGTCTTGGCTGTGTGCTTATGGTCGTAGTCCTGTTGGAAGGTGAACCTTCGTCCAAGTCTGAGGTCCTGAGCGCTCTGAAGCAGGTTTTCATCAAGGATCTCTCTGTACTTTGCTCCATTCATCTTTGCCTCGATCCTGACTAGTCTCCTAGTCCCTACCGCTGAAAAACATCCCCACAGCATGATGCTGCCACCACCATGCTTCACGGTAGGGATGGTGCCAGGTTTCCTCCAGACGTGACGTTTGGCTTTCAGGCCAAAGAGTTCAATCTTGGTTTCATCAGACCAGAGAATCTTGTTTCTCATGGTCTGAGAGTCTTTAGGTGCCTTTTGGCAAACTCCAAGTGGGCTGTCATGTGCCTTTTACTGAGGAGTGGCTTCCGTCTGGCCACTCTACCATAAATGCCTGATTGGTGGAGTGCTGCAGAGATGGTTGTCCTTCTGGAGGGTTCTCCCATCTCCACAGAGGAACTATAGAGCTTTGTCAGAGTGACCATCGGGTTCTTGGTCACCTCCCTGACCAAAGCCCTTCTCCCCCGATTGCTCAGTTTGGCAGGCCGGCAAGCTCTAGGAAGAGTCTTGGTGGTTCCAAACTTCTTCCATTTAAGAATGACGGAGGCCACTGTGTTCTTGGGGACCTTCAATCCTGTCTCGGAGCTCCAAGGACAATTCCTTCGACCTCATGGCTTTGTTTTTGCTTTGACATGCACTGTCAACTGTGGGACCTTATATAGACATGTGTGTACATTTCCAAATCATGTCCAATCAATTGAATATACCACAGGTGGACTCCTAAAGCATTGGATTGGTGTAAACATGGGCGAGAGAGAGTTTCTTTCCAACATATTTTTTTTTTTGCACTAGTCTCGGCGCTATTTCTTTTAAATCCAAGTCACATTGAGATTTACTTTATAATTTAAACCTAACCTACAGTAACCTATGACCTGACTATCACCTGTCCCCCGGCCCCAGTGGCAAGAAGTGACATCCCAAAAATCACACATACCTATACAACATAAATGGCTCCTCCTATGCTCCCACACATGCTTTCTGTCCCTAACACTAAAACCAAAAATAAATAATATAAAAACTAAAGATATATTTGTATACAACTAAAACTAAATAAAAACCAGCAAATCAGGTCTAAAAACTAACTGAAGCTAAACTGAATGTAAAATAAAAAACAAATAGAAATAAAAACAAATATAAAACCACAAAACTACACAGAGTATACAAAACATTAGGAACACCTGCTCTTTCCATGACATAGACTGACCAGATGAATCCAGCTGAAAGCTATGATCCCTTATTGATGTCACTTGTTAAATCCACTAGAAGCAGTGTAGATGAAGGGGAGGAGACAGGTTAAAGAAGGATTGTTAAGCCTTGAGACAATTGAGACATGGATTGTGTAAGTGTGCCATTCAGAGGGTGAATTGGCAAGACAAAAGATTGAAGTGCCTTTGAACGGGGTACGGTTATAGGTGCCAGGCACAACGGTTTGAGTGTGTCAAGAACTGCAACGCTGCTGGGTTTTTCACACTCAACAGTTTCTCTTGTGTATCAAGAATGGTCCACCACTCAAAGGACATCCAGCCAACTTGACAGAACTGTGGGAAGCATTGGAGTCAATATGGGCCAGCATCCCTGTGGAACGCTTTCGACACCTTGTAGAGTCAGTCCATGCCCCAATGAATTGAGGCTGTTCTGAGGGCAAAAGAGGGTGCAACTCAATATTAGGAAGGTGTTCCTAATATTTTGTACACTCGGTGTATAATAACCGTATTGGAAACTAAGTAATGTTTATTTACTTGCATCTTTATTGATTCAGTTTGATTTGACCCTGGAATGATTTCATCAAGACATTACAGTAACATAAATACAAACAATTAAAATAAGTACAAAAACATTGGTGGCATTTTGCTCTCTAAAACAATACAGTAATTACATTGACATCACCAACAGCAAAAAGGAAACTATCGATGGCTTTGGATATGGTTGATGTGGGTGTACCATGTAGTAGATCTAAGCTAGCATTCATACAGTTAAGAAACATTCAAGAAAAGCTTATAATACTTGTCCGATTCACAAGAATAATAATAACAATGATAATAGTAACAATTTTTTTTCTTTAAATATTCACACGCAGTATCTTACTATCTTGGTATGCTGGAATAAACATGAACACATAAAAACCATACTATTCCCATCTAATCGAGCCTACTTCCTGTCTGACCTCCTCAATAGGACATAGTGCAGTAAGTTTGAATCCTACTTAAGGCAATGTCTTCCTTTGTCTGGCTCGCTACTCTTTGGGCTGCATCCCATTTTGAAAACTTGCACCCTTGCTGATTTGAAAGGGCTGGGTGGGTGAAAGTGAATACAGCCTTTCTCTGGACCAAGCCTCTCATTCTTTCACTACTGTACTCTCACTTGCCTACTATTTTTACATAGGAAGGCAGTTTCAGCTCTGTCCTCACTTTTCTCACCTCTCTCTTTCTGCTCACTCTTGTCACTTGGTCTCTCCTCTCCTCCCACTCTTGGTCATAAAAGCATAATCTGTATAAATAAGTATAAATAAATGACAATATCCGAGTAAAGCCAGTGTGCTTCCGTGTCTTCTTTCGCAGACCCCGGAATAAACAGTCATTTTCAAGTAATTTTCTCTGCTGGTGGGGAGCTCTGACACAGCTCAATGCTGACCCCTTGTGTTCATCTTTAGTCACCGCGGACAGTTCGTAGTGCCAGAGAGCCAGCCCACTGGGCACACACTTGTTGAATCAATGTTGTTTACACGTCATTTCAATAAAATTACGATGACCCGACATGGAATAGACGTTGAATTGATGTCTGTGCCTAGTGGGAGGTTCTCCAACATCCCAGAATCTACACTAAGAATCATTCAGAGTTGGGGTCGACTACATTTAATCTCAAGCCACGTCAGGAAATGAGCTGAAATGGAACCAACCAACTACCAATCTTTACTACTATTCTCCTAATTTCCGCCTATTTAAAAACACTTTTGAGTTTTCATCCCCAATTTTCACTTTACCACACATCCACTTTCTCCACACCATCCTCTCACACACCTTCTGAGAGAAACATCGCCCCAGAAATGGAAAAGGCAAGCACATTCTCCAAAACATCGCCCCTGATTATCCTCTAAAATCTGATACTATTACCATATGTATGCAGTTTTGCAAACTACCCTCCAGGTTAGCAGCAAACCTTCCAGAACAATAACATGATAATTTGCATTCAAACTAAAATGTTATCATCTTGGAACTTTTGGTGCCAATCTTGCTTCCATTTGAGTGTCACTGCTTCCCACCAAGACTGCCTGGTAAGCAATGGATTCTTTATCATTGACAGGATGGAGTAGTTTAGTTTTAATATTCAGATACCGTGTACTTTGCTTGTAATGTAGTTTATATTGCATTCTATAGTGTAGCCGTTCAGTTTGTTTTTCTGTAGTTTTCTTTAATACTGTATTGTATTCAGCTATAGTTTGTGTTCATAGTCGAAATTATATTGTATTGTTCTCTGCTGTTTAGTTTGCATTGGTTGTTTTAACTGTATAATATTCAATGGTACAGTTTGCGTTGCTGTTCTGTGTTGTAGTTTAATATCTCTTGTGTCGTTTGTAATCAAGTTGATATTCAGTGGAATGGAGCCTCTCTAAATCTCAGTGGACTCTATCCTCTCCAGGCGTGAGGGCCCTGCCCAGGGTGGGGGCAGCTGGAGGAGGGAAGGGGGGCCTTTCTGGTCCTCACAGGGCGGGGGTAAGAGGGTGAGGGCCATGGGGGCAGGGAGACTGACTGAGGGCAGGGGAGGGAGGGTTGACAGGGCCGGTGGTGGGGGAGGGGAGAAGGAGGATGAGGGGGTGAGTTTGGCCCCCAGCTGTCCCACCTGTTGCTCTAGAGCCTGGCTTTTCTGTAGAGTCTCCACATAGCTGACCTGAAGCTGCGCCTGGTATTTCAACACACGCTCCTTCTCGTCAATCCAGGTGTGTCGCTCCTGGTTGAAACTGAGGGCCTGGAGCTCTTTCTGCTGACGTTCTAGACGTAAGGCCCCCTGGAGCTGATCCAGCTGCTCACACAGGTTCCCTGATTCCTCCCACTGGGCCTCCTGATGCTGCTGCTGCTGGGCCTCCTGACGCAAGTAGGCTTCCTGACAAAGTTGAGCTTCCTTACAGTGTTGGGATTCTTGGTGGAGATGAGCCTCCTGACAGAGATGGGATTCCTGGCGCTGGTGGGCCTCCTGGTGTGGCTGCATGTCACACCACTGGGCCTCTTCACGCTGCTGCCTCTCTTGCCTCTGCGCCTCTTGCCTCTGGGCTTTTGCCTCATCACTCTGAAAGCTGAGCAGGACATCTGAGGTGTGGGTGAGGGGTGTGGATGAGGGCTCAGGGGGGCTGCGGGGGCAGTAGAGAGCCCCCCAGGGGGGGAGTAGCCCTCCGGCTGCTAGGGTTTGGGTTCTGGCAGGATCAACCGCTCCGCCCAGCTCCCCCAGAGTTCGTTTAAGACCCAGCACCTCAGCCTCAAACACACCCAGCCTCTCCCTCAGGATAGACACCTGACAAAGAGAAGGATGTATTAGTGTGCGTTAGTGCTGACTTATTAACCATCATTTATTCACATTACTGTACTTTAATAAAATATTTCAGTTGTTCTGTAAAGTACATTTATTTTTATTTGATGACTTTATTATTTCATTCCAATTCATCATCTCATCTCTATAGAGCTGCTGCCTATGCTGTCTGACAAAATCACTATTTTAGTAGTTCTTCAAAGTAAATAAGGCATACTGCTGAATAGCAACTATCAATCACTTAGATCATGTATTTTCAGGCATTCTTCTCTCCCTCTCCGTGTCTGCACCACACTAACCTAACGGAGCAGGCGGAAAAGAAACACAGACCGGACAAGTAGATGCGCAATGGATTATGGTTATTGTAATTAATTACCACGTTTTATGCGCTAAACTATGTAGAATATTGTCCTGTTGGAAACCACAACTCCCTACTACATTGCACAGTTTAGGCTGGATCTGATTAATCACTAAAGGAACTGTGCAATGTGCACATTGAGCTCACAGAAAAAAAAACGACGTCGGTCAATTAGTTGTTTAAAAACGATAAAATAACCGTAATTTCGGTTAATCGCTCAGCACTAGTGTGCATATACTGTATGTGTGTGTATGGTCCAGTTTCATTTCGATCCCTAACTCTGAAACAACAGGATATCTCATCTAGTGTCAAGTATTTGTGTCATCAGAAATGTGACTTACAGGTTTGTATGTGTATAGGTACCTCAGTCAGCGTCCTCCTCAGCTCTCCCTGGCAGCGCTCCAGCTCCAGGCTCTTGGTGCTGTAGGAGTCCTTGAAGCCCAGCATGACCTCCTCCCGATCTCTCAGCTGGGCGTTGGCCTCCTTCAGCTGACCCCTGAGGGCCACCATCTCTCCCGCCCGCTGGGTCACCTCCACCTGGCTCTCCCTCAGCTGCTGCTTCAGCAGGGATATCACCCCCGCCTTCTGACATACCTGTACCACACAGCAGGGAAGGATATAGTATAGTAAGTTAGAGCTGCAGTGTTATGGGGCTGTTCACACCGACGCACCATGCACAAACGCACACCACCACAACAACAACAAACACCTCCCACTTGGTCTCCTCCAGGCTTGGCAGTACGTCGGCCTGTTCCTTCCTGAAGTCCAGACACTTCCTCTCCAGCTCTTCTCTCTGGGCCAGCAAGGCAGGCATCTCCTCCTGCAGGCGCCGCTTGTCCTGCGACAGACGGGTGATCTGCGCCTCCAGGGCATTCTGGGAGCGCTGGGCGCGGCGCGTCACCTGTATGCAGAGGAAGAGATGATCAACATTTGGTGGACTCTTATTGGTTTATGCCGCTGTGGAATGTGTGGCCATCTTCTGCAGTCGTGTGTGTGTGTGTGTGTGTGTGGTCACCTGCTGCAGGCGGGAGGCGTAGTTCTGTCGCAGCTCTTCCATCTGTCTCTCCCACACGCGCTGCTTCTCCTCAAACACTTGGACGATGGCTGCCTCGCTCTGGTCCAAGTTACGATGCATATGCTGCACCTGGGAGAGGGGAGGAGAGGAGAGATAGAGCTCAGAAGAGAATGGAAGGATTTTTGGGACTGACTGAAGTGATGATAATTGCTACATCCATGAAAATCGACTAAAGTAAATCACTCTTGACCACAAAATAACCTTTCACCTCTCACCTCTTGCTCCTTTTCCCAGAGCCGGTCCTCCAGGTCTCGGATGACGTCATCGGAGGAAGGTGAGGGGCGAAGGGGTGCTGGGGTGTCCCCTAGGTGGCTCAGCCTCTGATAGGATGAGGTGCTCTTTCCTGAAGAGGAGTGGCCACTGTCCGAGGCACTCAGCCCGTTCTGGAATAGTCTCACATACATTCATATACAGTCCACACTGGACTTGTACCAAACTGGATAGGTGCAGATACCCAGAGCAAGTAAGAACAATGTATATGCATTGCTACTGGTAAACTGCACTGCACTAAAAGTATGTTAACACTTATCAAACGTGAACTCATCCGGAGTCGACTGCAGTGCCTGTAATTATGTTTAAAAGACCCACCTGGTAGCCTGGTTTCTCCAGCTTGTCCTGAGCCGCTGCAGCTCCAGCAGTGGTCCCCAGTCTGTTGATATGGCTGGTAGAAGCACTGAGAGGCCCCAGGGCCGCTGGGGGCACATAGCCCGACCCAGAGCCTGCGTAGGTGGGCAGGCTGGTCAAGGAGTTTCTCCCCGAATCTGACATCCTCCCCTGGACTCCTCCGTTACCCATCACTCCCTCCTGCTCCCTCTGCCCGGCAGCTGCCTCTTCCTGGGCTGTCCTGGTCTAGGAGAAGGGCCTCTGGGACTGCCCCTGGTTCTCCTCCCCCTGCTCCTCCTTCTCTGTGCCCCCCAACACCCCTACCCTCACCACCACTGGTTTGGCCTACGAGGTTCTGCATGGAGTGAAAGCTTTTGGGAACCACTGGTTTGAAGGCAGAGGGACGAACCAGCCCAGAGTTGTTCTAGAGAGTTGAAGGGAAAGGGGGAGGAAGGAGAGAGAGAGAGAGAGATATTTGGGTAAAGAGGGATATGGGTAGAGATGGTTATAAAGAAACAGGAGAGGAAACTGTTAGCGAAACAACACATTCAAGGGGAATAACAGCATATTTCGAAAATGTGTCTATGTTCCTAAACCCCTCTGACTCATTGTTGGACTGTCTGTCAAAGTGCACACCTCTCTCACTAAGGGAGAGTGAGGTAGAGATATAGCAATGTCACAGAGTTATACAGCCCCCACTCACTGCAGTGCTAGATATAACTTTGTGGAATAATGCAAACCAAGAAAAATATAAACATTCTGTCTTAGCGAAAATACTCAATTCGGGAAGTCCAATCGATGGTGAGATATGGCATATACATTTCATGTGATCAATTTGGGATCGCTGGTTCACAATTGTACCTTTTCTGAGATCTCAGCCAAGTAAGGAGGAAAGGAGCCAACCTAATCCCGCCTCACACTTTTAGCTTGTAATAATTTCACCTGCCAATCAACATTGTCCATCTTCCCTCTCTGACTGTAGGCTACGTCCCTCGTTGTATGGTGTGATCAGATCATTTTGGTAAAATATATTTACTAAAATGAGAGGGAAAGACTACTGAGTGAGCAAAATAACATCCACTTCATAGGATGACACATATGGGCTAAAAGGCTCATTTATGTAACAAATGTTTCATTACATTGTAACTTTCCTACTGTAGCCAGCTGACAGCAAACATATCCTTGGATTGTTTTGTTGTTGCAGATATAATAGATAGCCTAGGTACAGATGCATGCATCTATCGAAATGCGATTTATGCTCATTGTCCAAGTTTTCATTGGGGTAGATCATGTATTATTAGCCTACATTTACAAATAGGTAGAATAATGACAATAATATACAAAATTATGCAGGGGATTTCGTTTGCAAGCAGGGACAAATTGCCTTCCTCGAGCGAGCAAGAGAATGTGATATTGTAGGCAAACTTTATAAAATGGAAAAGTATTCTTATGTTTGCATCAAATATGCATCAAATACCCTACTCCTTGAAAGTCGTGTACTGATTATATATAGCATACAGTGGGGGAAAAAAGTATTTAGTCAGCCACCAATTGTGCAAGTTCTCCCACTTAAAAAGATGAGAGAGGCCTGTAATTTTCATCATAGGTACACGTCAACTATGACAGACAAATTAAGAATTAGTTTTCCAGAAAATCACATTGTAGGATTTTTAATGAATTTATTTGCAAATTATGGTGGAAAATAAGTATTTGGTCACCTACAAACAAGCAAGATTTCTGGCTCTCACAGACCTGTAACTTCTTCTTTAAGAGGCTCCTCTGTCCTCCACTCGTTACCTGTATTAATGGCACCTGTTTGAACTTGTTATCAGTATAAAAGACACCTGTCCACAACCTCAAACAGTCACACTCCAAACTCCACTATGGCCAAGACCAAAGAGCTGTCAACGGACACCAGAAACAAAATTGTAGACCTGCACCAGGCTGGGAAGACTGCATCTGCAATAGGTAAGCAGCTTGGTTTGAAGAAATCAACTGTGGGAGCAATTATTAGGAAATGGAAGACATACAAGACCACTGATAATCTCCCTCGATCTGGGGCAAGATCTCACCCCGTGGGGTCAAAATGATCACAAGAAAGGTGAGCAAAAATCCCAGAACCACACGGGGGGACCAAGTGAATGACCTGCAGAGAGCTGGGACCAAAGTAACAAAGCCTACCATCAGTAACACACTACGCCGCCAGGGACTCAAATCCTGCAGTGCCAGACGTGTCCCCCTGCTTAAGCCAGTACATGTCCAGGCCCGTCTGAAGTTGGCTAGAGTGCATTTGGATGATCCAGAAGAGGATTGGGAGAATGTCATATGGTCAGATGGTAAAAACTCAACTCGTCGTGTTTGGAGGACAGAGAATGCTGAGTTGCATCCAAAGAACACCATACCTACTGTGAAGCATGGGGGTGGAAACATCATGCTTTGGGGCTGTTTTTCTGCAAAGGGACCAGGATGACTGATCCGTGTAAAGGAAAGAATGAATGGGGCCATGTATCGTGAGATTTTGAGTGAAAACCTCCTTCCATCAGCAAGGACATTGAAGATGAAACGTGGCTGGGTCTTTCAGCATGACAATGATCCCAAACACACCGCCCGGGCAACGAAGGGGTGGCTTCGTAAGAAGCATTTCAAGGTCCTGAAGTGGCCTAGCCAGTCTCCAGATCTCAACCCCATAGAAAATCTTTGGAGGGAGTTGAAAGTCCGTGTTGCCCAGCGACAGCCCCAAAACATCACTGCTCTAGAGGAGATCTGCATGGAGGAATGGGCCAAAATACCAGCAACAGTGTGTGAAAACCTTGTGAAGACTTTGTTTGACCTGTGTCATTGCCAACAAAGGGTATATAACAAAGTATTGAGAAACTTTTGGTATTGACCAAATACTTATTTTCCACCATAATTTGCAAATAAATTCATAAAAAATCCTACAATGTGATTTTCTGGATAAAAAAATTCTCATTTTGTCTGTCATAATTGACGTGCAACTATGATGAAAATTACAGGCCTCTCATCTTTTTAAGTGGGAGAACTTGCACAATTGGTGGCTGACTAAATACTTTTTTTCCCCACTGTATGTGATGAATGATGATCACTGCAATCAACAGCTGCAGTGTTGCACATTGGATTACCCCATTTCATGGAATAGGCTATGTGAAACTTTATAAAAGACAAAAGGCGGACACATGGAATTATTTGATTTGGATGGATGGTTGACATGACAGAAAGGTAGGCAGATATTTTCTTATTTAAAATGTGGGTGAAACTTTGCATCAGCTCGTTGTGTGTTGTTTCGCTCACGGGACTCGAGCCTGGATGGACTCGGAACTGGTAAAAACCTTATAGCCTATTGCGCAATATATTCCAAAATTATAACAAAATACACCAGCGACATCAATTAGGAGATAAAGGTTGTGAGCACAGTGTTTCTGATCAGATCGACAACTATCTTCTTGTGTGGCTACGATACCATCCTTAGAGCACAGCGTTTTCTGATTGGTTTCCAGATTATTGAAAGAGAGAAATTAAATAGGCTACTACCGAGGCATGTTGTGTTGGGTCGGGTGATGTGCTAAAGTCTGATTTAGTCTATTTTAAAACTTCCGGTGTGTTGTGTTTATGAGGAGCCACCTCGTGCGTGTGTTGTTGCATGAGTTAGCTGCGGTTTCCTCCTTGCTTGGCAGAGATCTCAGAAAAGGTAAAATTGTGAACCAGTGACCCAAATGTATTAGATAAAATGTATATGCCATATCTCACAATCGATTGGACTTCCCGAATTTCGTATTTTCGCTGTGACAGAACGTTTATATTTTTTAGTAGATGTGCGTTATTCCACAAAGTTGTATCTGGAGCTGCAGTGTGTGTTCGGCGATACTATATGTAACCCTGTGACATAGCTATTGCTCTAGCTGTACCTCCCTTTCCCTGAGTGACAGAGATGCGCACTTTGATTTTCGAAATGTGCCGTTATTCCCCTTTAAAGCCTTTACATCAATGTCTTAAATCAGTGAACACTAGAAATCATTTAAATACTATGCCAATATTTATTTGTAAGACCTTTTCACCATGTCAAATTTTATTTCATCAGCTGTTATAAGATAGTCATATTATATAACATTGTAATTATAAAGTATTTATTTAACTGCAATGATATAAGGATACAGCAGAGTATGTGTGTCCCATGCAGGAATCAAACCCACACTACCCTGGTTTTGCTGTGATCTAATTGTGAAATACCTCAATATGCCAATAAGCCACATGATCCTAGCTACAAACATACTTGTTTGAGAAGAGGAACATACCTGCTCTAGTTTGCCAGAGACAGGCAGGATTTTGGGTGGGTTGTGATTTGGAGGGTTGTTGTGATTGTCTGTTTTGGTCCCTCTTTGTTGGTGGGGGGTCATCCCAGTACCAATGTCATTCCCCCCCAGTCCCACCAAGTTACTGCATACATCCAGACTCACAACCCCTCCTCGTGGCTCTCTCTCCCTCTCTCTTTCCCTGTCTCTCTCAACCCTCTCTCTTGTCCTCTCTACCCTCTCTCTGTCCTTCTCTCTTTCCCACTCTCTATCCCTCTCCCTCTCTGCCCTGTCCCTCTCCCTCTTGCCCTCTCCCTTCCCCTCTCTACTCTCCCTTTCCCTCTCTCCACTCTCCCTCTCTCCACTCTCCCTCTCTCCACTCTCCCACTCCCTCCTTCCTGCTCCGTTTCCGTATCCCACCCCTGTATCCCCCCGGTCACAGTTGGATGCAGTTGTAGTGGTATGGTCTGTGTCAGAGTCCGGGGGCCGGTCTGTCCCAGTTGCGGTCCCAATACTAGACGCGGTTCCCTCGGAGGCTGTCGCTGGGGGCGGGGGGGGTTGTTCGGCGATGCAGCTACGGTCGGCGGGGCAACGGCGAGACAGGGGCGGAGCGCGAGGCAGGGTGGTCCTAGTGCCCACGGACTTCATGGCAAACTCCTGCTCCCCTGCCACTCCACTACCCACACTGCCCATGATGAGGGGTCAGGGGTGAGGGGTTAGGGGGGACAGAGAGTCACTCAGCGTCACACACTGGGAAGCAGTGTGGGTCATCATGGGCTAAAGGAGGCACCAGAGGCACACACACTGAGGAGAGAGAGAGAGAGAGAGAGAAAGAGGGTACCCTCATGCAAATAGACTGTTTATCCAGACGGTAGCAGAAGGCAGAGGCAGTAATATTTACACTGATGGCTATGAATGGAGTTGGATCAGCTGTCTAAACAATTATACACGGTGAAATACAATGTGTACAAATATAACACTTCCAGTCAAATGGTGTTGTAGTATGCAACGTCCAATATTTATATTTATTGTGCCTTTATTTAACCAGGTAAGGTTAATAACGACCTGATCAAGATGGAGCAATAAACTGTGCAGAAAATCAAACATTCAGTTACTATTCAAGGTTGTTTCTGAGTTTATAAATGACTTATGCGTGTGTGTGAATGAGTGCGTGTGTGTGAATAGGTGTGTGTGTGTGAATGGGTGTGTGTGTGTGAATGGGTGTGTGTGCGTGCGTATCTTTGTGCAGCTTGAGTGGGAGATTAGGTCATGCCTACAAGGCAGTGAGTGAGAGGGTGGCAGAGAGGCACATGCTGTTACGAAGTGTGTGTGTAGGTACACAGCTGTTGACAGCTACAACAGGTAACAGCTGGCTACTCTTGCACCTCTCAATCTGCTATGCAATTTAGATAAGGTGATTGCTGCAAAAGGGTGTAGGAGTATAGGCCTATATAGCCTTTTCTTCTCACTAACTCTCCCCTGCTGTCAAGACATTACTTACAGTAATGTGTGTCGGCATACAGTATACAACAGTACCCCAGTGCCCTCAAAGCAAATATATGAGAGAGGAAGAGAAGAACAAGAAGAAGGAGAGCGAGAAAGAGAAAGAGAAAGAGAAAATGAGTCGCTCCAGCCAGAGAGGCTATAAACCCCACTCGATGTCCTTCTACACTATTTACTTCCACTCGAGTAAACTGTAGTAACATCCTAACGAACACACTGTCTCTCTACTGATATGCTCTCCTCTACTCTCACCCCATGATTCTATCCATCTCTCTCATCCCTCCCTCCTTCTCTCTCCATCCCAAGGCGACTATATCAGGATTCGAATCGCACGACCGCGTTCATTGAAATATGAACGGTTATTATTAGATTGAAATGATTATCCTTGATGTCAAATAACATGTATTTGTCATTGTCAGAGCCACTTTGATATAGCCTGGGATAACGTATCCCCCATGAAATCCGTTTGCCCTGTCTATACGATAGCCTACTCACTGTTTGCAGCACCACCGTTGGCTTCGAGACACGACGATCCTAACAGCCGTTAAAAAACACCCTTGGCCCCGTTCAGGTCGGTTCTGAAGGATTATGGAATGTTGTCAGTGGATGTTTTTTCCCGATATTATCGACTTTAGTCGCAGTCGGTGTAGTATCGATGATGATGGAGGCAGCCGCGGATGCGACTATCAGCTGTAACCCCACAACCCAGACACGCCCCTTCTTCTGCACGACAGAAACGCCCCTTTTTGCACCGCTATAGGCTACTGTCATCATCTATCAGTCAAAAGTATTGGAAATAGCTGTAATCATATTTTCGACTACCTTTAAGCCTAGATATACAATTTAGCTGGGCTGGTGCAATTTTCAGAAATTGGGAATATACTCCTACCAATATTATGTATTATTGACTCTAGGTGCATAGACTAATTTGTGGTGTAACAGTATGTTGAAGAGAGAGAAACTGAAGTCAACACTCAGAGACTTGAGACATTGACAGTGTTGATCAAGATGTCATGGCTGAAAAGTTGCTGTCCATACTGCTACACAGTTGAGGGGATTATTGCTGTGTTCATAACACCTAGTAAATGTGTAAATACCAGCATACCACTGGGAAAAATCTACTTGAAGGCCCCTCCAACTGAAAAGTAGTGGGAAACTCCTGTCATCGCTGAGCTCTGACCATAGAGAATGATAGAGGCCTCTAGTGGCAAAAATGCAATTTTAGCATGGGCAGTGCCATTGAGGGCTTCCACCATGCTTCTGCCATTTTAAAGTAGTCAACTGGGTAGGGATTCCTATTGGTTGTAGCCTCCATGTGCTGCCCATGCTGTCACAGACACTATAATGCCACAGATATAAAGATGAGTCCTCTATGTAGCTCTATGGCTCTGACTCCCACATGCTGAACTCAGATGTCACATACTAAGGGAATGACTTCAATAACATTTTCAGCAGTTAAATGCAACAAAAAAACACTATTCATAAAAAACAATCTATTAATATGGTTTTTGAACAGTATAATTTGTTTGCGAGCATGATAGCTGTACTTGTAGTTTGTAGTTGATGCAGCTTGTTTGCCATTAGCCAATAGCCGTTCTCAACGAGTTCAAAGCACATGAACGCACACAACTCATTGCCAGTTTACAGTAGTATATTCAGAGTTTCCAACTTGTTATGAACGCAGCATATGGATGTATAACCAGAAGCTGAGAGAGTGAGGGACAGTTTTGCCACAGATAGAACAATGAGACATATTTCACCGGATGTATAAATGTGAAGCATCCGGTTGGCGTTTCCACTCACTACCAAATATTGTAGTGAGAGGAAGCCCAGTGGCTGGCAGTGGCCGACATTCTGCTAATTTTCGCATCGATGAATACAGTTTTTCAATACAGTTTTCTGTTTCCAAAACTAGAATATGTTACGAACAGAGTGGACTAAGTTTTGTAGACTTGACCCTTTGGCAATTTTGTAAAAATTGCGTTGTTTAGGAGTGCAAGGGCGAATTGAGTTATTAAATGACACCATGCTAATTAGCAGCATGCTGGAAACCTTGTGGATGTAGCCTAATGTAACAGAATGTTCTGAAAACTCTATGGAGCCCTAATTGCTCTTGGACAGATTCTGCATGTAAAGCAGGCTGTGACAAACTTTCGGGAGAATTGTATTTCAGGGTAACAGAGATTAATGGAGCCCCAAAGATGACAATCTCTCTCTCTCTCTCAAGTGATACCAACATGTTGGAGTTGCCATGGAAACATGCTTAGTCTGCTCTGTGATCACATGAAGCAGATGGGGAAGTGGTTGCAATGCAGCAAGGAAGAGGAAAGGGAAGAGAGCGTGTAGAAGAAGAAAAATAAGAAATTGCCCAGTTGCATTTCGATCCCTAAAGAACTGGATATCATTTATGTCATCAGAAGTTAAGGCGGCACTGAAATGTGACATACCATCATCAGAAATGTGACATAACAGGTATCGTAAATTGACAGGAAATAGAGAGATCAGTGATAACCTGAAACCCAGAAATAATGCAATGTCTCACTGCACCATGTGTGGAGGCTGCAATCTGCATGGTGACTAAGGCAGATTGGAGATGCATCCTAGGATGTGGTTTGGGATAAAAGCATAGAAGGTAGATAGCCAATAGTTATATATGTAGCCTACAGTAAGCACAGGCTGTTAAGTGAAAAAGTGAAATCCCATCATTAACTTCATTTGTTTACTAGCTTGTTACAGTCTACTACATAGGTTATTTCACTGGTTTGAAGTTTGAAGTTGATGTGCCTCATGGTTTGCACTGGTCGTGTCAGTGTCCTCTATAGCTGGCAGCTCTGTTAGTGGACATGAAGCAAGGGTTATGGGACAAGAGGAAAGTGTGGAGATGGCACATGAAAGTGAAGAAACTGAGTCTCAGCATCCCTCTGTTACTGTGGAATTGCCCATATCTCATATAGGTCATACAGTGTTATGTTAATGATACCTTTTTATATTATGTCATATACTGTCAATTTCCGTCAAGCCTGAGTCATTTTAACACATTGTACACAAAATGAAAAATGTTATTTGTGAATTTGTTTGTCATGGATGAAAATAATCATAATGTTTTCCTATTCCATGACCGTGACACTTAACATATTCTGTGACACAATGTTAACTGGCCAACTATCTACATCTGATCTCAGTACGTATCTTAAGACATTTAGTCATGCAAAATATAGCATCCACACATGAGATAGCATTAGTTCTGCCTGTATGTAATATCCATTCCATCATAAAAGACACCCATCTCTCTTTCATTGGCAAAGCCCACAATCCATCTCATTGCAAACTCTCCTCTCCTCCACTCATCAGCTCTAATCGCTTTCTCTTTGTTCCTTTCTAGTCCGAGGATGCAGGCTGATCTGATGTTCATGTCCTCTCTCCAGGAGCGGGGTTTTGGCCGCATAATGGCCATGCAGGTGAGTTCTTTCTTGCTTTGTTTGTTTGTGTTTGTTTCCGTCCGTCCGTCAATCCATCAGTGGAGAAACCAGACCATAGTCAGAAATGTACAGTAACTATAAATACTCCCCAATGTATTTGATCTACCAGGTGGCGTGCCTTGTCCAGCCTGGCTAGGTCTTTCTCCTTGTGGCTCGGTCTTGGGACCAGCTAAGGATGCTGAGGGAGGATCTGGAGGATTCTGTGGAGTTTCAAGAGGGGCTGGTGGTCCGCGTTGTTCCTGCAGATCTGAGCAGGAGAGAGGGGGTGGAGGAGACAGGGTTGTACGGGAAGAGGCCACTCTCGATATCGATCATGTGCTGCTCATCAACATCACTGGTGTGATGAGGTGGTGTTGAAGGAGTCAGGCGCAGGAGGGTAAATCACAGAATAACAGGCTTTAATCCGCAAAATACAGGTTTACGCAGAAATGCGTCAAACACACTCCAGGGCACAAAACAGGTGCACTGGAAAATACAAGGCACACGGGAAAATACTCCCGTCGAACAAAATACACGCGCTACCACCGAGCTTCACTAACCTTCACAATAAACTATCACCCACAAGGACAAGGGGGCAGAGGGAACACTTATACACGGACTAATTAGGGGATTAGAACCAGGTGTGTGTGATAACGAGACAAGACAATTGTGATGATCATGATTGGGGCGGCAGTGGTTAGTACTCCCGGTGACGACGAACGCCGAAGCCTG